CACCGCATCCCATGATGTGTGTGTGTGTGTGTGTGTGTGTGTGTATATGTGTGTGTGTGTATATGTGTGTGTGTGTGTGTGTGTGTGTGTGTGTATATGTGTGTGTGTGTGTGTGTGTGTGTGTATATGTGTGTGTATATGTGTGTGTATGTGTGTGTGTGTGTATGTGTGTGTATATGTGTGTGTATATGTGTGTGTGTGTGTATATATGTGTGTGTGTGTGTGTATATGTGTATGTGGGTGTGTGTGTGTGTGTGTGTATATATGTGTGTGTGTGTGTGTATATGTGTATGTGTGTGTGTGTGTGTGTGTGTATATGTGTGTATATGTGTATGTGGGTGTGTGTGTGTGTGCGTGTGTGTGTGTGTGTGTGTGTGGTTCATGTGCACAAACGTTCACAGTGATAAAAACTGGACGTGTCTCTGAGTCGTGATGGACGACGACAGAAAAAGACAAACAGAAGAAACTTTTATTTCAATAATAAAGACACACGATTCAGGAGGAACATTTCTCCATCTGAACATCTGGAGCTCAAATCCACACGACAAACATCAGGTCACAGAGCGGTTTAAAGTCCACACGAGTCCTGGTTCTGGTTCTGGTTCAGGTTCTGCAGGAGTCACTGTTACTTTGAGACGTGTGTTTGTCTTCTGGAGTTTCTCACATCGGCACTGAACAGATCAGACTTCACTCAAACTAAACTTTATTATGATTCAAATGTAAAAATGGATTCAGGTTGAAAAGTTTAAATGTTGAAAAGTTGAAAAGTTGAAAAGTGAATGTGTTTTTTTGTTTCAGGAGTGAACAGCAGCGTCAAGTTTTACTGTGAAGCCAAAAACTCTCGAGGGGTTTCTGTGTCCAGGACGGGGACCGTGCACATCAAAGGTCTGTGTGCAGGGGGCACTACACACATACACACATATACACACATACACACATATACACACATACACACACACACACTCACATACACACATCAGAGGTCTGTGTGCAGGGGGCACTACACACACACATATACACACATACACATACACACATACACACACACACACACATACACACATACACACATCAGAGGTCTGTGTGCAGGGGGCACTACACACACACATATACACACATACACACATACACACACACACACACACATACACACATACACACATCAGAGGTCTGTGTGCAGGGGGCACTACACACACACATACACATACACATACACACACACACACACATACACACATACACACATCAGAGGTCTGTGTGCAGGGGGCTTTAAAAGTCCTGGATCTGAAGTTTTGCTTCACATTTCACAAATAATAAAAACAGTTTGGATCAAAACTAGAAGAGCAGAATCTGAACTTTGACACACAAGAGTCACACACACACTGGACATACTGGACACACTGGAGACACTGGACACACTGGACACACTGGACACACTGGACACACCGGAGACACTGGACACACCGGACACACTGGACACACGGACACACTGGACACACGGACACACACACCGGAGACACCGGACACACCGGAGACACCGGACACACTGGACACACCGGAGACACTGGACACACTGGACACACCGGAGACACTGGACACACTGGACACACACACGGACACACTGGACACACCGGAGACACTGGAGACACTGGACACACTGGACACTGGACCGGACACTGGACACACTGGACACACCTGGACACACACACTGGACACACTGGACACACTGGGACACACCTGGACACACTGGACACACTGGACACACACACTGGACACACCGGGACACACTGGACACACTGGACACACTGGACACACTGGACACACTGGACACACTGGACACACCGGAGACACTGGACACACTGGACACACCGGACACACTGGACACACTGGACACACTGGACACACTGGACACACTGGACACACTGGACACACTGGACACACTGGACACTGGACACTGGGACACTGGACACTGGACACACTGGGACACACTGGACACACACTGGACACTGGACACACTGGACACACTGGACACACCGGAGACACTGGACACACTGGACACACTGGACACACTGGACACACCGGAGACACTGGACCGGACACTGGACACACCGGACACACGGACACACTGGACACACTGGACACACCGGACACACACTGGACACACTGGAGACACTGGACACACTGGACACACACACTGGACACTGGACACACTGGACACACTGGACACACACTGGACACACACACTGGACACACTGGACACACTGGACACACTGGACACACTGGACACACTGGAGACACCGGAGACACTGGACACACCGGAGACACTGGACACACCGGACACACTGGACACACCGGAGACACTGGACACTGGACACACCGGAGACACTGGACACACCTGGACACACCGGAGACACTGGACACACCGGAGACACTGGACACACCGGAGACACTGGACACACCGGAGACACTCGACACACCGGACACACCGGACACACTGGACACACCGGAGACACTGGACACACTGGACACACCGGAGACACTGGACACTGGACACACCGGACACACCTGGACACACCGGACACACTGGACACCGGAGACACTGGACACACTGGACACACCGGACACACCGGACACACCGGACACACCGGACACACCGGACACACCGGACACACTGGACACACTGGACACACTGGACACACCGGACACACTGGACACACCGGAGACATGGACACACTGGACACCCTGGACACACTGGGACACTGGACACACTGGACACACCGGAGACACTGGACACTGGACACTGGACACACGGAGACACTGGACACACACCGGAGACACTGGACACTGGACACACGGACACGGACACACTGGACACACCGGACACACCGGACACACTGGACACACCGGAGACACTGGACACAATGGACACACCGGAGACACTGGACACACCGGACACACCGGACACACCGGACACACCGGACACACCGGAGACACTGGACACACTGGACACACCGGAGACACTGGACACACTGGACACACTGGACACACTGGACACACCGGAGACACTGGACACACTGGACACACTGGACACACCGGACACACTGGACACACCGGACACACTGGACACACCGGAGACAATGGACACACTGGACACCCTGGACACACCGGAGACACTGGACACACTGGACACACCGGAGACACTGGACACACTGGGGACACCGGACACACTGGACACACTGGAGACACTGGACACACTGGAGACACTGGACACACTGGACACACCGGAGACACTGGACACACCGGAGACACTGGACACACCAGAGACACTGGAGACACTGGACACACCGGAGACACTGGACACACCAGAGACACTGGACACACTGGACACACTGGACACACCGGAGACACTGGAGACACTGGAGACACTGGAGACATTGGACACACCAGAGACACTGGACACACTGGACACACCGGAGACACTGGACACACCGGACACACCGGACACACACCGGACACACACCGGAGACACTGGACACATCGGACACACTGGACACACCGGAGACACTGGACACACCGGACACACCGGACACACCTGGACAAACGGAGACACCGGAGACACCGGAGACACTGGACACACTGGACACACTGGACACCCTGGACACACCGGAGACACAACTGGACACACCGGAGACACTGGACACACTGGACACACTGGACACACCGGAGACACTGGACACACCAGAGACACCGGACACACCGGAGACACTGGACACACCGGAGACACTGGACACACTGGAGACACTGGACACCGAGACCACTGGAGACACTGGACACACCGGAGACACTGGACACTGGACACACTGGATACACCGGAGACACTGGACACACCGGAGACACTGGACACCCTGGACACACCGGAGACACCGGACACACCGGAGACACTGGACACACCGGAGACACTGGACACACCGGACACACCGGACACACCGGAGACACTGGACACACCGGACACACTGGACACACCGGACACACTGGAGACACTGGAGACACTGGACACACTGGACACTGGACACACTGGACACACTGGACACACTGGACACACACTGGACAACACTGGACACACCGGAGACAGACACCGGACACACCGGAGACACTGGACACACGAGACCTGGACACACCGGAGACACTGGACACACTGGACACACCAGAGACACTGGACACACCGGAGACACTGGACACACACTGGAGACACACTGGACACACTGGACACACTGGACACACACACTGGACACACCTGGACACAGAGACACTGGACACACACGGACACACTGGACACACGGAGACACTGGACACACGAGACACACGGACACACCTGGACACACTGGACTGGACACACCGGGAGACACACTGGACACACTGGACACACCGGAGACACTGGACACACCGGAGACACCTGGACACACACTGGACACACCGGACACACTGGAGACACTGGACACACTGGACACACTGGACACACTGGACACACCGGAGACACTGGACACACCGGAGACACTGGACACACGGAGACACTGGACACACCGGAGACACTGGACACACCGGAGACACTGGACACACCGGACACACCGGAGACACTGGACACACTGGACACACCGGACACACTGGACACACACACTGGAGGACACACTGGACGGAGACACTGGACACACCGGAGACACTGGACACGGAGACCTGGACACACTGGAGACACACCGGAGACACTGGACACTGGACTGGACACTGGACACACTGGACTGGACACACGGACACGGACACTGGACTGGACACTGGACACGACACACCTGGACACACTGGACACACACTGGACCACACCGGACACACACGGAGACACTGGACACACTGGACACACGGACACTGGACACACCGGAGACACACTGGACACACTGGACACACTGGACACACTGGACACTGGACTGGACACTGGACACACCTGGACAGACACTGGACACACACTGGAGACACTGGACAGCACACTGGACACACACACACTGGACACACACCTGGACACACTGGACACACACTGGACTGGACACTGGACACACACACGGGACTGGACACACTGGACACACTGGACACTGGACCGGAGACACTGGACACACCGGACACACTGGACACACTGGACACACTGGACACACTGGACACGGAGACCTGGACACACCGGACACTGGACACACCGGAGACACTGGACACTGGACACCTGGACACACACTGGACACACACACTGGAGACACTGAGACACACACACCGGAGACACTGGACACACTGGACACACCGAGACACACTGGACACACTGGACACACCGGACACACCGGACACACTGGACACACACACTGGACACACACTGGACACACTGGACACACACACTGGACACACTGGACACACCGGACACACGGACACACCTGGACACACACTGGACACACTGGACACACTGGACACACTGGACACTGGACACACTGGAGACACTGGACACACTGGACACAGACACACTGGAAACACACACTGGACACACTGGACACACTGGACACCACCGGAGACACTGGACCACACTGGACACACACACACACTGGACACGGAGACACTGGACACCGGAGACACTGGACACACACACTGGAGACACGGAGACACTGAGACACTGGACACACGGACACACTGGACACACTGGACACACACTGGACAGACCGGACACTGGACACGGACACTGGACACACTGGACACACTGAGACACTGGACACACTGGACACACTGGACACAACGGACACACTGGACACACCGGAGACACTGGACACCGGACACACTGGACACGGACACACTGGACACACCGGACACACTGGACACACACACTGGACACACACGGAGACACTGGACACACCCGGAGACACTGGACACACTGGGACACTGGACACACTGGACGGAGACACTGGACGGAGACACTGGACACACTGGACACACCTGGACACACTGGACACACCGGAGACACACTGGACACACCGGAGACACTGGACACACACTGGACACACTGGACACACGGAGACACTGGACACACTGGCACACACACGGAGACACTGGACACACCGGACACACCGGAGACACTGGACACACCGGACACTGGACACTGGACAGACACACTGGACACACTGGACACACCTGGACGGAGACACTGGACACACTGGACACACACTGGACACACTGGACACACCGGAGACACTGGAGACACTGGACACACCGAGACACTGGACACACCGGACCGGACACTGGAGACACTGGACACACCGGACACACACACTGGACACACACTGGACACACGGAGACACTGGACAAACTGGACACCGGACACTGGACACACTGGACACACACACTGACACTGGACACACTGGACACACCGGAGACACCGGACACACCTGGACACACCGGAGACACACCTGGACACACCGGAGACACTGGACACACACACCGGAGACACTGGACACACACCGGAGACACTGGACACACACTGGACACACTGGACACACACCGGAGACACTGGACACACCGGACACACTGGACTGGACACACTGGACACACTGGAGACACTGGACACACTGGGACACACTGGGACACACTGGACACACCGGAGACACTGGACACACGGGACACACCGGGACACACTGGACACACGGACACACTGGAGACACTGGACACACACACTGGACACACTGGACACACTGGACACACACTGGACACACCGGAGACACTGGACACACCGGAGACACTGGACACTGGACACACCGGAGACACTGGACACACTGGACACACCGGAGACACTGGACACAAAGGACACACCGGAGACACTGGACACACCGGACACACTGGAGACACTGGAGACACTGGACACTGGACACACTGGACACACTGGACACACTGGACACACTGGACACGGACACACTGGACACACCGGAGACACTGGACTGGACACACTGGACACACCGGACACACCGGAGACACTGGACACACTGGACACAAAGGACACTGGACACACCGGACACACGGACACACTGGACACACTGGACACACGGACACACTGGACACACTGGACACACCGGACACACCGGACACACCGGACACACCTGGACACACCGGACACACCGGACACCGGACACACCGGACACACCGGACACTGGACACCGGACACACCGGAGACACCGGACACACCTGGACAGACACACTGGACACACCGGACACACCTGGACACACTGGACACACCGGACACTGGACACACCGGAGACACTGGACACACTGGACACACTGGACACACACATGGACACACCGGAGACACTGGACACACTGGACACACACACTGGAGACACTGGACACACTGAGACACTGGACACACTGGACACACTGGACACACACACTGGACACGGAGACACTGGACAGACACTGGACACACTGGACACACTGGACACACTGGACACACTGGGACACTGGACACACTGGACACACGGACACACACGGAGACACTGGACACACACTGGACACACGGAGACACTGGACACACACCTGGACACACCGGAGACACTGGACACACTGGACACACTGGACACACACTGGACTGGACACTGGACACACCGGAGACACTGGACACTGGACACACTGGGACACTGGACACACGGAGACACTGGACACACTGGACACACTGGAGACACTGGACACACCTGAGACACTGGACACAATGGACACACCGGAGACACTGGACACACTGGACACACCTGGACACACCGGACAGACACTGGACACACACTGGACACACCGGAGACACTGGACACACCGGAGACACTGGACACAATGGACACACCGGAGACACTGGACACACTGGACACACCGGAGACACTGGACACACTGGAGACACTGGACACACTGGAGACACTGGACACACTGGACACACCGGAGACACTGGACACACTGGACACACCGGAGACACTGGAGACACTGGACACACCGGAGACACTGGACACACACTGGACACACCGGGACACTGGACACACACCGGACACACCGAGGACACTGGACACACCGGACTGGACACTGGACACACACTGGGACACACCGGACAGACACTGGACACACTGGACACACTGAGACACTGGACACTGGACACACACTGGAGACACTGGACACAACTGGACACACACCGGACAGACACTGGACACACTGGACACACCGGACACACCGGACAGACACTGGACACACCGGAGACACTGGACACAATGGACACACCGGAGACACTGGACACACTGGACACACTGGAGACACTGGACACACCGGAGACACTGGACACAATGGACACACCGGAGACACTGGACACACTGGACACCCTGGACACACCGGAGACACTGGACACACCGGAGACACTGGACACACTGGAGACACTGGACACGCTGCACACACCGGACACACTTGAGACAGGAATCATCTGACGCCATCAAGTCCCAGTCCGACCCGAGTCCGACCTGAGCCCCAACAGAAGCTCTAAATATTGTTCTGACTCTCTGACAGAAAAAGTTCCACAGTGCCTCTTTAACCCCTCCTCTTCTCTTGTGTTTTTATTCAGTTCTTCCGTCGGCTCCGGTGCTTCTGAAGGTGGAGAACCTCGAGGAGAACAACGTCACCGTGTCCTGGACCCCGGGCTTCAGCGGCTACTCCCCCCTGACCTCCTGCTCCATCCAGGTACTCCTCCTGACCCCTGACCTCCTGACCTCCTGTTTCATCCTGGTGTTTGAGTAATTCTTTATTATTCATCATCACCTCCAAAGCTCCAGACGTTCTTCAGAGTTTTCAGGTCGTCAGATTCATGTCTGTGTCGGTTCCTGCAACAAAACTCAAACCGTCGAGTTCACACCAAAACCAGAACGTTCAGGAACCCAACATTTGTTCCCAACAGGAAACGAGTAAAAGTGTTTTTTTCTGAGGCGTGAGGACTCGGTGGACCTGAGCAGGTTCCTCGAGTCACACTGGAAAATAACCAAATAAAACGTGTGTGAGGAACGTGGAGGAGAAACAAGAGACAGAAGATCGAGCCGTGGCCAGAGAACGAGAACAAATATTTACTGTGTCTGTGTTCGACCGATGACGTTCCTCCAAACAGATGTTCCTCCACACACAGATGTTCCTCCACACACAGATGTTCCTCCACACAGATGTTCCTCCACACACAGATGTTCCTCCACACACAGATGTTCCTCCACACACAGATGTTCCTCCACACACAGATGTTCCTCCACACAGATGTTCGTCTCTGGTTTGATGTTTGTTTTTCTTCTTTCGTTGGGTCGTAGTTTTTTTCGTTGGTAAATCTGTGGACGATCTTCACGTTTCACTTAAACGTTGGAACGCAGCTCGTTCATTGTAAGAACTTTGAGCAGGAACTGACACCGGCACCGTCCAGACCTGAAAACACCTTGTGATGTCATGAAGTGGTAGTTTTCAGGTGAACATCTCCAGGTCAGAGAGCCGAGGATTATGAGACATTTAAGGTCAGAGCCACGTGTTTGGGGCTGAAGAATGAAAACCAAGACTAAACCAGGTCTAAACCAGGTCTAAACCAGGACTGAACCAGGTCTAAACCAGGTCTAAACCAGGTCTAAACCAGGACTGAACCAGGACTGAACCAGGACTGAACCAGGACTGAACCAGGACTGAACCAGGACTAGACCTTTAGTTTTTCTCCTGACACAGAAGAGTTTGAACTTTGAGTCAGTTTTTGTTCCATGTGGACACAAAGATCTGAACCACAAACCACAACCCAGGTCCTGCACCTGACACTCACCTGTCTCACCTGCAGGTCTCTGGTCCGGCCTCTGCTCCGGTCTCTGGTCCGGTCCGGGTCCGGGTCCTGGTTCCTCCTCACAGGGTCTCGGTCTCTGGACTCAGGTCTCACTCGGTCTACAGCCTCAGAGTCTCCTGCACCAACCAGCTCGGACCATCCCCGGACTCGGACTGGATCAACTTCACCACCCCAGAGTCCGGTACTGGACCAGGACTGGGACTGGGACTGGACCGGGACTGGACCAGGTCTAAACCAGGACTAAACCAGGTCTTGTTGTTTTAGTCCCGATGGTGGCTCCGAGGAACCTGACCTTTGACCTGTCGGAGAGTCAGCTGACCCTGCGGTGGGCGGGGCTGCAGGAGAACGAGCTGCAGGGGAAACTCCAGGCCTATAAAGTCCAATGGAGCCTGGGCTCAGAGACACAGGCAGGAGCGCACCTGACACACACCTGACTGCACCTGACACACACCTGACACACACCTGACACACACCTGACACACACCTGTACACACACCTGACACACACCTGACACACACCTGACACACACCTGACACACACCTGTACACACACCTGTACACACACCTGACACACACCTGTACACACACCTGTACACACACCTGACACACACCTGACTGCACCTGACCACACACACCTGACACACACCACACACCTGCACACCTGTACACACACCTGACACACACCTGACACACACCTGAACACACACCTGTACACACACCTGTACACACACCTGACACACACCTGACTGCACCTGACACACACCTGACACACACCTGTACACACACCTGACACACACCTGACACACACCTGAACACACACCTGTACACACACCTGTACACACACCTGACACACACCTGACTGCACCTGACACACACCTGACTGCACCTGTACACACACCTGACACACACCTGTACACACACCTGACACACACCTGACTGCATCTGACGCACACCTGACACACACCTGACACACACCTGTACACACACCTGTACACACACCTGACACACACCTGACTGCACCTGACACACACCTGACACACACCTGAACACACACCTGTACACACACCTGACACACACCTGACACACACCTGTACACACACCTGACACACACCTGACACTGCACTGCACACCTGACACACACCTGAACACACACCTGTACACACCTGTACACACACCTGACACACACTGACTGACACACCTGACACACACCTGTACACACACCTGTACACACACCTGACACACACACCTGACTGCACCTGACACACACACCTGTACACACTCCTGTACACACACCTGACACACACACCTGAACACACACCTGTACACACACCTGTCACACACCTGACACACACCTGACACACACCTGACACACACCACTGCACCTGACACACACCTGACACACACCTGACACTGACACACACCTGCCACACCTGACACACACCTGACACACACCTGTACACACACCTGTACACACACCTGTACACACACCTGACACACACCTGACACACAACTGTACACACACCTGACACACACCTGACACACACCTGACTGCACCTGACGCACACCTGACACACACCTGTACACACACCTGTACACACACCTGTACACACACCTGAACACACACCTGACACACACCTGAACACACGCACCTGTACACGCACCTGTACACGCACCTGTACACACACCTGACAGCACCTGACACACACACCTGACACACACCTGTACACACACCTGTACACGCACCTGAACACACACCTGTACACGCACCTGTACACACACCTGACAGCACCTGACACACACACCTGACACACACCTGTACACGCACCTGTACACGCACCTGTACACACACCTGACAGCACCTGACACACACACCTGACACACACCTGTACACACACCAGTACACACACCTGAACACACACCTGACACACACCTGAACACACACCTGAACACACACCTGTACACACACCTGTACACGCACCTGACACACACCTGACCACACCTGTACACACACCTGACCACACCTGTACACACACCTGACCACACCTGTACACACACCTGTACACACACCTGACACACACACACACCTGACACACACCTGACCGCACCTGACACACCTGACCACGCACCTGACACGCACCTGTACACGCACCTGAACACACACCTGACACACACCTGACACACACCTGAACACACACCTGTACACACACCTGACACACACCTGACACACACCTGTACACACACCTGAACACGCACCTGACACGCACCTGTACACACACCTGACACGCAAATGTACACACACCTGACTGCACCTGACACACACCTGACCGCACCTGACACACACCTGACTGCACCTGACACACACCTGACTGCACCTGACCGCACCTGACGCACACCTGACACACACACCTGACACACACACCTGTACACACACCTGACACGCACCTGACACGCACCTGTACACACACCTGTACACACACCTGACACACCTGACACACACCTGACTGCACCTGTCACACACCTGTACACACACCTGACTGCACCTGTCACACACCTGTACACACACCTGTACACGCACCTGTACACGCACCTGTACACACACCTGTACACACACCTGACAGCAC